GAAAAAGTGATACATTTTAAACTCTCTTTTCTTGCCAAAAGAATGATTGAGCCCCACCAACATGGTTTTGTAGCTGGTCGTTCAACGGTCACTAAGTTAGCTTCTTTTTCAGAATTTTGTGGTTCATGCTTCAAAGATGGCTGCCAGGTAGACACCATTTATACGGACTTTTCTAAAGCCTTCGATAAGGTACCACACCTATTATTGCTACACAAGTTGGAGTGCATTGGTGTTCACTCTAATTTCCTAGCTTGGCTAAAGTCTTACCTTACAAATAGGACTCTGTCTGTTCACATCGATGATTGTAAATCTAATCCCTTTGTTGTAACATCAGGTGTACTCCAGGGTAGCATTCTTGGCCCCCTACTGTTTGTCCTGTTTATAAACGATATTAGCTCCTGTGTCAAACACGCCAGTTTTTTATTGTATGCCGATGATTTAAAACTCTTTCGTAGAATAACCTCCTCATCTGATGTTCTCTTTCTTCAGGAAGATTTAGATCGTCTTTTAAATTGGTGTGAATATAATAAACTGTCTTTGAATGTAAAAAAGTGCTTTAAGATGACCTTATCTAAATCTCAAAACACTCTTACTTCAAATTACAACCTCGTAAACCATCAGCTTACTTCTGTTAGTGAATTTGTTGATCTTGGTGTCGTGTTTGACTCGAATTTTTTCATTTATAAATCATGTTTGTCATTTACTCCCAAAAGTTTATAGTAATTTAGCATTTATTCGTAGATATGCCAAGGATTTTAGAGACCCTTACACTCGGAAAGCATTGTTTAATTCCTTAGTACGATCTAAACTTGAGTATGCCTCTATTATATGGAGCCCTATTTATAATTGTCACGCCTCTAGGATTGAGCGAGTTCAAAAGGTGTTTATTCGATTTGCCCTCGCTTCTCTTAACTTCTCAGATCCGATTCCCTCATATTACTCCCGGTGTAAGCTAATAAATTTGCTATCATTGGAAAATAGAGGGCGTACCCAATTACTCTTATTCGTCTTCGATCTTATCTCTGGCTCCATTGACTGCCCATCGCTTCTTGAGCAGGTTACCTTTAATGTGCCTCTCAGAACTCTTCGCTCTCACATCCCCTTTTACGCTCCTGCCGTTAAAACTAACTACTCATCTTTTGCGCCTATTTTTCGAGGCCTTGTGGAATTTAACAATATCTCAAAGAGCTTAGATATCGACTTTTCGTTTCCAAGAAATCTTTTTAAATCATCTCTTGAAACCTATTTTCGTAATTGTACATATACTAGTCACCGTTAACACTTTTAAGCCTACTTCTAGTCTGTAAGATTGTAAACCATAGACTGAATAAAGATGAAATATGAAATATTACTTATAGCTCCCATACAACTGATTGTTCAGATATGCGATTTTTTGTTATAACTCCTGCAATTATGAAGGTGGGAACATGAAATTTCGCAATATTTTCACCCGTTATGAAAAGAATATTTACAGTGAAAATGAACAAAGATCGCGTCAATATAACCCATTTATTGCCTCCATACAACTGATTGTTCGGATATGGGGTTTTACTGTAAAACTCCTATATTTGGACAGCTAAAGCCGATAAATTTTGTAAGCTATTTTATAAATAATAATACAAAGTCTACTGAGAAAATTGTCAAAATCTATGCTTTATCTCCTATACCACTGATTGTTAAGATACCAGTTTTTGCGATATATGCGCTGTTCTTACTTGTTAATACCATGTTCTGACCGACATCGAAAACACTTTGAAAACGTGTTTTGGGAGTGTGGGCTGAAGGCTGTTCACCACAGTATATACAGCAATAAACCTTTTCGCAGTTTTTCACCATTTGGTCCTCGAGGAGTACTTTTGGGTTGTGTGGCGCTTTCGATTTGCGCGCACGGCAACACTTACTGTGGGGAATTTCGTCTCATGATTAGAAAAAGTTCTTTTCGAGGATAAAATATGCATAATTATGTGTTATTTATGAACAAAATGTAGGTTAAGTATAATATCCATCTTTAATGTATGCTGACACTCATGCTTAATGAAGAATAATATCAATAGTTAAATACATAATTAATGCTTGTGTTTTATAAACTGGAAAACTCAAATCGTAGTTATAGCACTGAATGCAGTTTTCTTAAATGTAAGTTTAAAATTAAAAAAAGGGTCTATTGTAAGATTATATTTATATGAAAAACGTAAATTTTGTGAATTTATCAAGCAAAATTCTAAATTTCCGAATATATTTAAGTCTTTATTAAAAAACAAAAAAAAATCAAGGTTTGTATAGCTGTGTAGACTCCAATGCCTGCTAGCGCATTCGCCCAGACAGTCCATTAAGCACACCCAAGTTTGAGTGATCTACAAGTTACTAGCGTTTTCAGCATTTAACAGTTCATTATCATGTACGATGTAATATTACAAGTTAGAGCGTGTGTGAATCGGTAGCAAAGTGCTATGGGGAAAGCTGGTGAATTGTATTTTTACTATGGTGAGACAATTTTACCAATCTGCTGTGTGAAATGAAATCTTTTTTGACAGCAGTAAAATTTTGAAACCGCTGAAAATTGGCGTCGAATAAACAATTATAAATCAAAGGAAAATGAATATTTTAAGAAAATATTTACCATTATTGATTACAATTCTTTTTGAAATCAGGTCACTGCAATTAATGGACGTTTTAATTTTGGCATTAAAAAAGAAAAGACAACGCCAGGTAAAAGTGCTTGCATTGGTGCCTTTTTCTATGTCCTCACTTTTTATTTTTAAGGCTATTTTATATATGCAACCTGCAGTTTATTCCAAAACCATGAATGCCATAATGAATGGGGATAACAAAATAACAAAAATGCATCTCAGGTTGTCGGCTAGTTCGTTCAGAAAAATTGTGGTGCATATTCCTAAAAAACATCACGGATGGTCTGTGGATTACGAAGTGATGTGCTTTTTATATTGGATGGCATGCGGATGCAGCTATAGGGTGGTAGCCGAGTTTTTGGGTTTGAGTCGCTACACAGCTTGCAGCATTATTAAAAAAATGTTGGATAAAGTAATTTCAATGCGCCACTTAATAAACCATGGCACTTCGGAAGACCACGAGAGAATCGCTGCTAAATTTTGCCAAAAAACTAAGTCTACTGCTTTTACAAATTTTATTGGCGCTATTGACGGAACGCATATTCGGATAAAATGTCCCATAAACAAACATGATGAATATATAAATCACAAAAAATTTTATTCTATTCAGGCTCAAGCAGTTGTGGATAGTGAATATAGATTTACAGACGTGTTCATTGGTTATCCAGGCTCCGTTCATGATACAAGGGTATTTGTCAACAGTCCTTTGTACGCTAAGAAGGACTATCCGCCTCAAGGTTGGCTTTTATTTGGTGATAAAGGCTACCCGTGTCAACTATATCCGGTGGCAGTAATCACACCATTTAAAGAGCCCTTAACAACAAATCAGGCTAGATTTAACACTGCTCATAGTAAAGGACGTATAATTGTAGAATCTGCATTTGGAATTTTAAAAAATCGGTGGAGAAATATTTTTAATAGAGCGCTGGAGCTAAAAATTGAAAACTGTATAAAAACTGCATTTGCTGCATTTATACTGCATAATATTTGCATACTCCAGGACGATTTTGAGCCATCTTTGGGAGAAGAAAATCACCTTTCAGATTTAGAACCGCCAGAATCTGAAGGTCTATTAATAGACTCTGCAGAGGGTACAAGAATGAGAATTTTTTACGATTTTTTGCAAAACCAAGAACCAGATGTTTAATAAAACCCAGCTTCCAATAAATCACTTGCTATAACACAATAGGGAAATTCATGGAAACGCGTAAATGCCTCGTAACCATGTAAACCTCGTAAACTTACTTCATTTTGTATGGAAAATCGGTTTATTTACGAGGTTTACGCGGTTACGAGGCATTTACGCGTTTCCATGAATTGTTCTATATTTACATATACTCTGACAAATTTTAATTAACTAAAATGCGCTTTTTCATATTTTAATAATATATATAATCGTTTGTACTTCCCTAACAATGTAAAATAAATATGATAATAACAGTAAAAAAACACTCTTCGATTTCAACAATTCACTTTAATTATGTATATTCATTTAGACAATTAACTTTGAAAAGCACTTGCACACTCAACATCATACAGTGACCTTTTTACAATGTTCGCAATGGTTTCTCATTCAGAAAACAGTTTTCGTTAATATTTTATAAATGTATACCTCGTTTGTGCAAAAATTATAAAACATAATTTAATAGGCTACAGATCAGCATTCCAAAATTTTTTTCTGGAAGTTCTTATATAAAAGTATGCTTTTTCAATGAAAGTTTCTTATTTTTTTTTTAATTTACGAAAACTATTTTCTAAAAGAGAAACCATTGCGAACATTATAAAAAGGTCACTTTATGATTTTTTGATTTAGGGCCGGTTGTTCAATGTCTGGTTATCACTACCACTACACTATCGACGATTTCGACATCATGCATGTAACATGTGATCGATAAAGCAGTAGTTGTGCTTAACCGGAGCTTCTACCTCCGATTTGTGCTAATCAGACATTGAACAACCGGCCCTTACTGTGTATAAACTTATGATTATTTGTACTTATGCCAGGCACATTAAGGGTTTTTTTTAAGACTAAAAATAATTCAAAATTCATGGGAACAAAAGCAAATTTGTGTTCGTAAAAAATTATATAGATAACTAAAACGAATTCAAAATTCTTAGGAACAAAAAAATTTATATTAACAATAGGATATTTACCAAGCTAATTTGTTCTTTAACTCCGTACTCAGATTTTTTTTTTGATTATGCTCTACAATTAATTATGAAAGCAAAACAAAACTCAATGCTACTTTCCTTTGGGAACTATCGGCGATTTTTGAATGTTTTTCAATATTCAGTTTTATTTCAAATCAATCAGTACTCTAAAAAAAGTTGTTAAGCAGTATTTAACTTTTCGTTCAAGAGTTTTTCGCCGTCAAAAATGAATTGTTTTGAAATGAAACTAATTATTAATATTGAGTTTTGTTTTGACTTCGTAATTAATTGGGTGCAAGTCCACCCAACTATCTTTCTGAAGAAGCAGATAGGCTGAAACAGCAGTTCAGAATCCTACGGCTTCGCCGTGAGTTAAACGAATTGCAGAATCAATGCTACAACGCGCCTGAAAGAAGCCAAATAAATTTCGAGGAACTCGAAGCAGCTGTCCCGAAGTTTAGTGGTGACGATCACTACGATATAACAAAGTGGCTAACCCAATTCGAGGACTACACTGAAGCAAAAAATTTAACTGACGGGCAGAAGTGTCTGGCTCTGCGACGTTGCATGAGCGGCACGGCCAAGGAATGTGTATTCAACCACGGTGCGTCCAACTACGCCAGTCTAAGAATGTTGGTGCGAACAATGTTCCAACGCACAGTCAGCAGATATGAAATTTATCGCCAACTACGAGCACGTAAGCTAAAGTCCTCGGAGTCATGCATAAGCTACGTGGTTGCCATGCAGTCTATCGCCTCAAAGATGGATATCGAGGAAGAAGAATTGGTCGATTTGATAATCGACGGGATACCAGACATCAGCAACAACCTCAGTATATTATATGGCGCCAACACAATGTGTGAACTCATTCGGCGAATGGACCGGTATGAACAACGCAGGTCTATGTCTTCCACAGCTAAGTCCTACGCTACGACGGTCACCCGCAACCCTCGACCGAAGGCACCTTCCGCTGCTGGTTCTGGTGACCTAACTTCAGTACGATGCTATAACTGCTCCCAATTTGGACACTACCAAAGCAGTTGCCCGAAGCCGTATAGACCTCCAGGTGCTTGCTTTACCTGTCATCAAATGGGACACAGACACAATGATTGTCCGAAGAAGCGGAATCGAGTCACTAGTGTAGCCCTAGTCTCTGAAGGATCAGCAAACGAGGATGATGCTATAAACGTAAAACAATGGGTAAGTGTGGCCTTCTGTAAACCAAACCTAATCAGAAACACAGGTTTTATAAATATTTATTCTCTTATTGGCTCCGGTAGTCCAATTAGTCTGATGCAAAAGTCAAAAGTACCACGATGTATTAATTTATCGCTCACCACCTTACCAACAAAATTTATCGGCATCGGCAAATGCAAAATCCACTCATTTGGCACAGCTTTGTGTGCGGTGAAATTTCGTAATCAAACCAGATATGTTCCGACAATGATAGTCCCAGATGATACCATAACAGTGCCCCTAATACCCGGCCGGGACTTTATGAAGTTATTTAACATACATAAATTAATAAAGACGCTGCATATGAATTAAAAAGCAGCACTAATAAGACTAAAGCACAAAATGAACTAAAACATTTTCCTTTTTGTTCAACAACTGAATTCAATAAAAATATTTCTTCTAAAATAAAGCACAGTATTTCTGATTTGGTGGTGGGTAAAATAACTGATGGTGACGGTAAGAAAGATTTGCATAACTATGCAAGCGGTCGAGTCGAGGTCCGAGGAAGAGGTATTAACATGTCGCAAGCACCAGATGCTAAGATAAAACACTTAAGCCACGAAAGTAATAAGGACTATATTGAATATACCGGTATATTAAATGAATTATATGCTGTTGACGTTTCGGCCCATGAGCCAGATATAGACTTAGGACCTGGCCTTGATAAATTTAAACGAGAAGCAATAATGTTAGTTCTAAATAATTCGTATATATCACACATAGGTTTAGAAAGAACGCCTTATGATTATAAAATGAAGATTCGTTTAACTGATGACACACCCTTCTACTGTTTACCGAGGCAATTATCGTTTCAAGACAAGGAACGGGTATAGAAAATTATTGAGGATTTGTTGAATAGACAGGTTATACAACCTAGTAACTCCCCTTATGCATCTGCTATAGTGCTGGTGAAGAAAAGGAGTGGTGAAACTAGAATGTGTATAGACTATAGGACCTTAAATAAGAAAACCATTCGGGATAATTTTCCTTTACCTCTAATAGAGGATTGTGTCGAGTATATGTCGGGGAAGAAGTGGTTCACATTATTAGATTTGAAAGATGGTTTTAACCAACTGACCATGGATAAGGAATCGGTTCCATTAACCTCATTTGTAACCCCACATGTGCAATTTGAATACCTTCGAATGCCGTTTGGACTTAAGAATGCACCGGCAAATTTTCAGAGATTCGTCTACAACATTTTTCGCGATTTGATAGATTCAAAGACCATTATAGTATACATATATCGATGATATCTTAATTGCATCTACTGACTTCGAATGTCACCTTCGTACCGTGGGAAAAGTGTTAGAGAGGATATACAGTAGAGGGCTTGAACTCAAATTAAATAAGTGCAAGTTTGGTTATAATAAAATTGAATACCTAGGATACATGGTGGGTCCTATGGGCATACAGCCCTCCGATGCTCACGTCCGCGCAATTACTAACTATCCCATACCAAGGAACAATAAGGAACTTCGCTCGTGTCTTGGCCTGTTTTCGTACTTTCGAAAGTTTATACCATCGTTTTCGCGTACTGCTAAACCGCTTTTAGACTTGTTACGCAAAGAGGCAGTATTCGATTTTTCCAACAGCTGCTTAGAAGCTTTCAAGGAATTGAAAGAACAGTTAGCTAGGTCACCTGTTTTAGCAATATATGATCATACTCGTGAAACGGAACTTCATTGCGATACCAGTAATCAAGGGTTTGGGGCAGTCCTATTGCAAAAGCAGGACGACAGAAAGTTTCATCCGGTTGCATATTTTTCAAAGACCACGACGGCCGCCGAATCCAGGTATCATAGCTTTGAATTAGAAACGCTGTCCATTATTTATGCTCTAAGAAGGTTTCGGATTTATTTGGAAGGAATACCATTCAAAGTTGTTACCGATTGCAACTCACTCACCATGACCCTAAATAAGAAGCAGGTAAACCCGAGAATAGCGCGATGGGCCTTAGAGTTGGAAAATTTCAAATACTCGATTCAGCACAGGAGAGGCGTAAACCTGAATCATGCTGACGCACTAAGGCGCTATCCCACACATGGTGCCAAATCCGTTGTCGATGGGATCATCGTCCACAAGAAAGAGTCAAACTCTTGTCCAACCCCAATAGGTAATTTCGAAGGCCACCAAGAACCGTGTAAGGCTCAGTCGGGAGACGAAATTATGTGCTTAGGAAAAGGGAAATTACTTGCCGCGATAGATCATGAAAACTTGGATTTTCAGATTCAAGTTCTACAAAATAGGGATCCAAGGTTACAAGAACTAGCCGAAGAATTGGAAAAGGGCGAGGTAGTGGGCTATGAACTGCTGGATGGCCTTGTTTTCCGCAAGCTCGGCAATCGGACTTTACTATGTTTACCTACGGAGATGCAAGAAAACATCATTCGCATGGTACACGAGAAAGTCTGTCATCTGGGAGTAGACAAATGCTACGATCAGATGCGTATACACTACTGGTTTGATCACATGAGGGACAAAATTGGCAGGTTCATTAGGAACTGCATCAAGTGCATCATATACTCCGCTCCAGCGCGATATAACGAGCACAATATGTTCCGTATCCCAAAAAAACCAATACCTTTCGATACTCTCCACTTGGACCACTTTGGTCCCTTGCCGGCTCTTAGATCAAAACGTAAGCATATACTAGTCGCTATAGATGCCTTTACAAAGTTTGTTAAACTGTACCCGGTCAATTCTACGAGTACCAAGGAAGTTTGTTGTTCTTTGGAAAAGTACTTCGGTTACTACAGTCGCCCAAGGCGTATAATTACGGATAGAGGTACGTGCTTTACTTCCCTCGACTTTAGTAATTTCCTCTTAAAAAGGAATATAAACCACGTAAAGGTCGCAGTGGCTTCGCCACAAACAAATGGCCAAGTCGAGAGAGTAAATCGCGTCTTAAAAGCGATGCTAAGTAAGTTAACCGAATCAATAGAACATTCGGATTGGACAGCGAAACTTTCACAAGTAGAATTTGCCATAAACAATACGGTCTATAGTACAACCAAAAGCACTCCTAGCGAATTGCTTTTTGGCATATGTCAGCGTGGCTGCATAGTAGACGAACTAACTGAATTTCTGGAAGATAAGCTATTGGATGACACACCTAGGGTCTTAGTTGGAATGCGGGACAGTGCCTCGAAGAAGATAGATAAGTCACAAGAATATAGTGTACAATACTTCCTTAAGAACAGTGTACCTGCCAGGAAGTACTCGGTAGGTGAATTTGTGGTGATTAGACATGTTGATACCTCGGTTGGAACAAATAAGAAAATCATACAAAAATATCGCGGCCCATATGTAATCCATAAAATCCTGCCAAACGACCGCTACGTCATTAGAGACATAGATAATTGTCAGTTGACACATTTACCTTACAATGGCGTTGTCGAAGCTATGAAAATTCGAAAATGGTGTTCGCCCATTGCCGAAACCAATCACTCCATCCAGTCACCCGCACCAGCAGGCCACACTGCTCAGTAGATTTATAAGTCGTAAATTATTGATTGAGGCCAATCAATCTAGTCAGGTTGGTCGAGATGTAAACATTACTTTTAGTACCAAGTCATCTGGGTCACCCGATGCCCAATAAGTATTCTGAATATATATATTAAAACATACAGTGTACACTGTAATAAAATGGTCGGCCATTCCATTTTCGGATGGACAACAAAGAAGACGTCTTTTAAAAAAGAGAAATAAAAAATCAGAGTTTAGTGGAACAATCCTACAAGGGAAAATCCAAGTAAAATAAGCGTTTAACAAATAGAAAATAATTTGCAATGTTTTTACACGTTTGCAATTAGTTTCGGTCAATATTACACAGTCATGACTTGAGCCACTCTGTCATAGTACGGTTGTTGCTCCCTTTTTATACCACAGTAATTTTGTATACAACTCTGAGTCAACAAAATTCATGCTCCTTCTCATTATCAACCCTGATCAGATTTTACCCCCGAGGAGTACTCAAAAAGGTTTATTACTGTATATACTGTGCTGTTCACACCGGCTGTTAGTGTTTTCGTTGACATTTCTTACATCTTCTGATGACAGTTTTGCTACACAAAAACAAAACCAAAATGCTTTTCCCTCATTTTCTTTTCATTAGCAACCTCTTACTTCCATTCTTATTTTACTTTTGCCAGCCAATTAACAATAAATCCGAAATAGCGTATTAAAGATGATCAAATATGACTTCCACTTCGATAAATAATCGCAAAAACTAGTGCAGACACCGATTGGAATGAGTGGAACGTGAGCATTCCCACGACAGCCGGTTCTACGCACCGGAATGACTCGGGTTTTACCCGACCAAGGGCTGTTGGTTCGGCGATCTAACCCCGTTTAGGTCGGCGAAGTATCTCAGAAGTTGTCCGTCCATAGGGCTACATTCACTACGTATTCTCCTACTCAGGGCTGGCATCGAGTCAAACCCAGGGCCAGAAACCTACACACCTCAGTCAAGTGTAATGAATGCGAGGGGTGGAGTCACCTCAGAGTCTGCTCGGGACTACGGACACATAGACAGTGGACCACGTCGTACGTGGCCCCCTGTTGCTCTAACAGAGCAGCCTCCACGGCTAACCACAGTCCGCCCGAGCAGCTTCACACACTCACACAGCAGCCTCACACAGTCACCACGACACAACAACATAATAACACCACAGACCGTACCACAGCCACTACAGACCACATAACACACACAACCGCACCACCACCCACACGCCGCCGCCAACAACTCCTGGTTCCCCCTACAATCTGCACGGTTTGTCAGACCAGGATATTCCGTAATGTGACATCAGCCAAGTGTAACACCTGCCTTGGCTGGTGCCACTTTAGGGCATGCTCAGGTCTGCGTACCACGCGAGATTGGACTGGGAACTTCGAGGGCCCGTGTTGCGCTGCTCGGTCGCAGACGCCAATTGCGACGCCCCCCACCACCACCACAGGGGGGCAATCACCACAGCAGCACACACAGCCAACAGCGGCAAGAACATACACTTCACTCACACCCCACATCACGACACGTCTCCCGAACCACATGAAGCTCCTTCAATTTAACTGCAACGGGCTACAGAGCAAGATTGAGGAGATAACCGTCTTCATGTGTCGGCATGGTATATTGAATGGTATTGAATTGCGCCGGGTACAACGTGCACCGTCGAGATCGCGAGCGAGATAATGGTGGTGGCTTAGCGTTCATCACGCACCACACCGTGCAGTATCGTCTTATCGAAGCAGACATCGACCGCAGGGATACCACCCTAGAATGTCAGGGCATCGCTATCCGGTCAGGCGATGTCGAGCTCGAAATATTTAACATATACATACCCCCTGTCACCTGCTGCCCGGTAGGATATCACCCTGATATAGGTGCGCTCCTCAGAGGTGAAAACCGTAGGGTAGTAGGCGACTTTAATGCGCACCACGATCTTTGGCACTCAAGCCTGTCAAACGATCGTAGGGGAACAGACTTGGCTGAGCAGATAGACGATTGGACATTCTGCACAATGAACGACGACGCACCCACCAGGATTATGGGTAACTGCAGTAGCTCGCCAGACATCACAATTATCAGCGCTGGTCTGATAAACAGCATAACGTGGTGACCTATGCTGACTCTAGCATCAGACCACCTACCCATAGCCATCTCGATAGATAAACCAACCGACTTTGCCTCCGCCAAACACCGGACCTATATCAACTTTTCTAAAGCTGATTGGAAAGGTTACGCGGAGTTTACCGAAAACACCTTCACAGCGCTCCCCACACCAACCGACGTCCATCTCGGTGAACGTAAGTTCCGCAGGGCTGTCACTGCTGCTGCAGCTCGCTTCATACCGGCAGGATGCATATCGGACCTACGTCCAAACTTCCCTCCCGAAGTGGCTGATAGCCTTCGTCAGGCCGATCCCGGAGATCCCCGTATCAGGGATCTCAACGCGGAGATTCGGCAACTAGTAAACGTACATAAGCGGAAGAAGTGGGAGGAGCATCTGAAGACCAGTAATTTCACCTCTGGTGTGAGCAAGCTTTGGTCAACCGTGAGGTCATTGTCTAATCCGACGAAGCACGACGACAGAGTCGAAATTTCCTTCGGCGACCATGCCTCGTCGGACCCGGAGCGATGCGCGAGCTATTTTAGCCGGCAGTTCATACTGCATCCTCCGGTGGACAAAGCCAAGCGTCGAGTGACCAGAAGGCTGCACAAACTGCCAACAACCTGTGTCCCCCTTGCTTTCACTTGCGGTGAAGTTCAGGTGGCCATCGGGAAGGCGAAAGCCTCCAAAGCCATGGGTCCCGACGGAATATGCATGCTGATGCTGAAAAATTTGGGTCCTGCGGGGGTAGCGTACCTAACGGAGGTCCTCAACTTGTCAATGGCCACTCTCATCATCCCAGACATCTGGAAGGTGGGGAGAGTGGTCCCACTGCTCAAACCGGGGAAACCTGCCAACAAAGGAGATTCCTATAGTCCGATAACACTCCTTTCCCCGGTAGCGAAGACACTCGAGGCCTTGCTACTCCCGTACTTCACAAACCACCTGACCCCAGCGAAGCATCAGCATGGTTTCCGTAAAGTGCACAGTACGACAACAGCACTTAACGCCATAAACACTCAGATAACTCGTGGCCTTAACCGAAACCGTCCCTGTGAGAGAACGATTCTAGTAGCGTTGGACTTGTCAAATGCGTTTGACACCGTCTGCCATTCCACGCTACTAGAAGATATAGAGGCCTCCTCTCTCCCACAGAGGCTCAAACGGTGGTCGGCAAATTATCTGAGTGGTCGACATTCGTCGGTAATGTTTAGAGACAAAACGAGTAAGCAGCGAAAAATAAAACAGGGGGTTCCTCAGGGTGGTGTCCTTTCCCCACTACTGTTTAACTTTTACATTTCAAAGCTCCCTCAACCACCAGAGGGAGTCTCGATTGTCTCTTATGCCGACGATTGCTCGATCATGGCGACTGGGAATGGAATTGATGACCTGTGTTCGAAAGTAAACGGGTATCTCTCCGAACTTTCTCGCTTCTTCACTGCAAAGTGTCTAGCCCTCTCCCCTACGAAATTCTCCGCGACCCTGTTCACAACCTGGACGAAGGAGGTCAGGCTACCGCTGGGGATTCACGTCGATGACACACCAATTCCGACGGTGAATAACCCCAAAATACTCGGAGTAACATTCGACAGCATGCTCTCCTTTCTGCGCACTCAACCGCTATTGTCAATAAAGTACAGAGCCGCAACAAGGTCCTCAGTACTTGGGGCAAAGACAAAGAAACGTTGCTGGCAACATACAAGGCAATAGGCCGGCAGGTTGTGAACTACGCAGCGCCAGTGTGGTCGCCAGGGACTAGTAGGACGCAGTGGACGAAGCTACAGACTGTACAGAACACCGCACTCAGGACAGCGACACCCAAGCAGACAGCTGCTTGCAGAGGAGCCCTCGCCTAGGCACGTCAGGAGGCATCTATATGAACTGACGGACGAAGTCCAGAGGTTCATTAAGCAACCTCTGGACCCGACAGCTTACCGACAGGCCCTGAACGGCATTCACAGGGACTCAGTCTCGAGTTATGTAGACTACAGACCTGTGAATGCCGTTCTAGGCATACCACCCCCGGACATAGACGAGACGGAGCTTCATCTGCCTCGGGAGACACGCACAACACTTGCACAACTTCGCTCCGGCTACTGCAGCAGGTTGAACTCCTACCTGAGTAGGTTGAATGAGGATGTGCCGAATGGGTGTCCGGCATGCGGAGAGACCCCACATGACTCGAAACATCTCTTCGCATGCCCGGAAAACCCGACAACCCTAACGGCCTTGTCCCTGTGGACAAACCCCACAGAAGCTGCACGCTTCTTAGGGTTGCCGTTAGTGGAACTTGACGACAACGACTGAGATACCAACCGTCCTGGGCGGGGTTGTTGTAGCCGCTACAACAACAACAACAACAACAACAACAGTGGAACGTGAGTTTTCAAGTAGTTTTCAGCGAAAACTGGTTTTCGTTTGACAGATTTTACATGGACGAAAACACAAGTTTTAGGATGAAAACCAGTTTTAGCAACGAAAACATGTTTCCCATGTCGGTCAGAACATGGTATAATATTGCATTCTAACCATTTTTCTGAATCTTGAACGCAATTTTGTGCAGAGGATGAGATAATAGGTGCGTTCGACAAGTCAAAAATTTGTAATAGTTTTTTCCAAATTTTTACTGGACGGCGTTCGATACCGACAAAACATTATCCAACACACAAAAATTGAGAGAGCAAACGTTCATTTTGTACTGGCAAAATTTTAGTCAGCAAAAATTATCCAACACGAAAACATATGATCACAAAACATGTGGTTGCAATTTCTGTAAACAAACAAAATTGCATTTTCCGAGTTTTGGTATTTATATGCTTTTTGGCTGCCTGCTATGTGACTTTATGATAGGGCCAACTAGTTTTTACTTCTAGAAATGTTCCTGACGAACATTGAACGTTCACTTTCCTTTTTTCTTCTATGGAGGCCACATGAATTTCAGTTTGTTTACAAATAAAACATAAATAAAGTCAGCTGGTGTGTCTTCTTCTTCCGGTTTTTGCAAGTAATGGCTAATTTCCTGTTCGTTTACCTTTTTGCTTTTTCATCTCTTTGGGAGAGAATTTTCGGTTAAGGCTCTGTTATGCATACTTGGCATTGCATGCACTGCTATACCATTTTTACGTAGAAATCAAAAACCAACAGACTTCTACGTATGTAGTGCTGTGCGTTCGATAACCGATTACACGCGAGGCTCATTTAACAGATTTCTTATGTGACAGCTCTCAAGCCATGCCAAGTATGCATAACGGAGCCTTTACTCTCTTGATTTTGATTGTTGGATGGTGTTGGCTAATTTTGTTATCGAACGCAACTAATTAAAAATTGGTTGGTGTCAGCTGTGGCCTAATGTAAATAACGAAAAGGTGCTTTGCATGTTTGTTTCCCGGATAATGCTCTACATACTCCACTCAAATTAAAAAAAAGGCTACATATATTTCTTTTTTTAAATATTATTGGAGATTGATTTAAAAAAGTATATCAATACATCATTTTAACTTGACGACTTCTAACTAAATACAATATATTTGTGATCTTAGAAGCTAGTTATGAGTATTTAATTATTATAAGTTATGTTCGTCGGGCAAAATATTTGTGCGAATTATGATGATTTTTGTTGAAATCGCGTTCGCCCAGAACAAAAGATTATCCATCACAGTTCTCCTTGAGAAAAGTTGCAAACTCCTGCTGTACAAATTTTTAACGTAAAGAATTTGCAATCGCGTAAAACATGATTGTGTCACAAGCTTGCATTTTTGTCGACGATAATTTGAATAAAAATGTTCGTTAAATTTAAAAATATGTAAACTTGAGCGATTTTTTAACGAAAAATGTACTAAAAAATCTATTCATATTCGGAATGACATTTCTGAATGATATTTCTGCATCAAAAATAAAATTTTGAAAAAAATGTCGCTTACGTTACTTTGCCGATTAAGGATATCAGATAGTAATTGTCATCGTTCCATAAGTAACGTAACTTTTTCTTACCGTGGTGTTTTAGGTTCAGTGTTTTACTGTACTTTTAATAAATTATAATAAAAATGGAAGAAATTGTATTAGAAAACAAAAGAAATTGTAAAAGATAAGACCAAATGCTGTGGGAATTTTTTGGCAATCAGCTGATAGTGTTTCTTACTTAGGAAATTGTACGATGGTTATTATACGACAAATAAATTAAAACGCATGTTAAAGAAATTCAGAATAACAAGACATGTACAGCTAGATCTTGTTAGTCCACCTGAGATAGATTTTAAAATTCTATAAAATTTGTTATATTTGAAATGCAACGTGGACACAGGCTGGCAGGGAAACTTTGCATATTCCGGCAAATTTGCTTTCGTGCTGAAATTTGGGAGTTTCTCTACTTGAGAGAGAATTTTTCTTACTCTCTGATATTTCGAGTGATGGATAATTCATGCTAGATTTTCGACGATCAAACCTATAATAAAACAATTATACGCTTGTCGGTGGTTTAAGTATTAGGGCAGGATAATCAATGGTTAGTTTTAATTTCCACTCTGGCCAGTAAAGCTCATATTTTTCCTTACTTTCCGCTACCATGTCGAGTTGCAAATTTTGGAAAGCCTCCATCATACGCGGAACTAATTCTTTGGGAATTAAAACTTGGATCCAATACCCAATTATGCCATAAGGAGAAGATTTGCTCACAATTGCCCCAGTCACAGTTTCTGCCACAAGAGTTAAAGCTAGGTGCTGAGCTTTGAAGGTGAAATGACGACCATGGCGAATACGGTCCTTAATTGCCAACATGAGGTATTTTGCTGCGTATGGAGCTAAAGTAATTTCTATTCCATCAAACGAAACAGAATTTGCGGAATGCGGTTGATAATTTAGAGGGCACGATTTATGTAGAGAACTGTTGCTCATTGACATTGATTGTGGAAATCCGACATTTTCGCGTTTGATTTGCAATTTATTTAACACTTTGTTTTCTTCGAAAACATATTGTTCATTTAATCTATTTGAATCCATTTCTTTCTCAAAACACTGCTGTTTTTGTATTTCCCGGAATGTAAAGTCCGCGTTTACACCAGCCAAATCTGAACCTTGTTTTTCCAAGTCATCTTGCAAGTTTAGTAATAATTCAGGGCAAAGCTGGAACACACTAACCGACCGACTCATATCTGTAACTAGCCATTTACCCCCAGTATGTACATCTTGTTGCAAGTAATGCAGAACACCACGACCATTCCAACGAGAAGCCTGATCGAATTCTTCGTCTGTAACACCAACTATCTGACAGAAGTCAACCGTGCCAAATAATGTCTCTATACTGCTAAGCTGTGGGTCTTGAGCAATAAGAATATTTTTCAAAAGCGAGGTAGCGCTTCCATCCAGACTTTTACGCCAAGGAATATTATCACCGAAAAACAATAAATTACCAGTCTGAAAGCAATAACGTGCTATTGCTTGCAACAAATTTGCTGGCCAAGTAGGTGGGTGCTGACTTTTTTCAGCATTTTTAACGCTTTTTGATTCTGTTTTGATTAGCCGGAATGATAATTCGAAACCCATCCCAGACCGAGTATTAATATCGTTCGTATCTCTCACGTGGACACGTTCATCTCCATGTAAGTCACTTAAACCGAAGCTCACATAATGCCAATGAGGCGGTATGCCTCTTTCTGGATCTCCATGATTGTTATACATACTAATGTAATCTAATGGATCTTGCCCACCGAGCCAATACTTTAAAACAGTTGTTACTTGCAATGGATTGACTTGATCTGGATAAATACTTTGAAAATGATCGATAAGTGCTTTAAGACCAGGAGGTGGAAGCATCCTACTACTTTGTCCAAGCAATTTTGGTGTTTCAGTCATAATTATTTATCTTACAAAAAACGACACAAAAATATTGACACAAATAAACAAACGACCTCAGTATATCCCTCAGTATATCTAGTAAAAAAACTGTGGTGAAGTCCTTTTTGGGGATAAAGTTGCCAGAGGTGAAATTTTAGGTAGCACACAATTTCTTACACGCATGGTTGCTTTTCAGCACTCATGAAAGAAACTTAAGAAATATTTGAAAAAAGAAGTTCATATAGTACATTAATTTTGAAAGCAATACCATATAATGTATGTACTCTGGTTAATAATATCAAAAAATGTATTAGAACCACCGTCTAATGTTATATTTGATACAAATTAATATTGCTGCCCCGAACGCACTGCGCCTTGCCACTGAATAATAGGTTTACTTAAAATTGCATCCCTGGTCCTTGTTCTTTCTGTATCGCATCGTGGTGAATTCACATTTCTCAGAAATTTGACAACAAAAAACAAAGCCAGTATTTTATTTGCTAATTTTTGCGATTTCTATTGTTTAATGTAAATTTGTCTTTTTAGGATATGTCGAGCCAACAAAGAAAGCGCAGTTGGAAAATTGAGTAATTAGTAATGAAGTAGCAGGTATATTTGGAAAATTATGCCGATAAGCAGAATGGAATTTGGGAAAGTAAGTGCATGGTTGCGCATATCTATGTATAAAAAGTATTTAAATTGTTTATAGAGATGTTATAAATCGAGTGGCTCATTTACGATGCGCTCCAAACATTTGGCGAACTTTTTTTCGCCTTTTCAACGTGCTAAGTAACAAGTTAAGATGACTGCCATCACGGCCGGTAAGAAACCGCAAGCAAAGGGCAGACAACCTTCCAGGAAGCTGCCTCCTGTCCCCGAGCCGAAGCTGCCGTTCAGCAAGAGCAGGTCAGCAAATTGCTACCCTGATCAAACGTAAACTAAAGCGCTCTGCTGTGATTGCACTCCGTAAATGTGAAAACTTGGTGCATGCTGAGAAATATCAAACAAGAAAACTCGGTGATGGACGCCGTGAGATGGAGTAGCGCTGTGTGGCAAAGAAATGCGGCCAATTCGACGGGCCTTAAAAATCCAAATTGGCTTTTGTGATCCGCATCCGCGGTATCAACAAAGTTGCACAAAAAGTGCGTAGTTTTACAGTTCTGTCTTCGCCACATTAAAACGGTGTGTTCATCAAATTGAGCAAGGCAACCATTAATATGCTACGTATGCCGAACCCCCTATATGGGGTTATCCTAATCTTAAATCAGTTTGTGAATTGATGTACAAACGTGGAATGGTCAAACGTGTCCCAATCTCTGCTTTGTGATCGAACGCAAATTTCGCGAAGCGCACGAAATTCAGTGCGTTGATTCACTTCACTTCAAGAAAGCCCCCAACTTCCTGTTGCTATTCAAGCTCAACACATCAACCCGAGGCTGGCGCAAGAAGGCTAATCACTACGTTGAGGTTGGTGATTTCGGTAGCCGTGAGGATAAGATCAACAAATTGCTGCACAAGATGGCTTAAAGAAATTGTTGTTTTGTATTTAAGTCGACAATATAATTTGGCACATCTTCAAAAGACGCCCAATCAAAAAAAATAAATAAATAATAAAAAATTCCTGAAGTTGCCTTTTCACGGGTCGATTTCTGTCGACTGGAAAATTTACTTAAGATATCGACTAGCCAAAACGCTTACATTTTACGGTTGAATTGCAATTTACACGGGTAGATATTGGTTAAACGACAAAAATCGACCGTGTAAAGGCAGCTTAAATAACGTTCAAATTAATCATCCCCTTTGAGATGGAAAATACCAATAACCATTTCATAATTTCGAAAATTATTCCATTTATATTTGTTCTTGCATTTTCCACACCACTTGTGAGGTATGCTTTTACGCGCGTTACCGATTTTTTTTTAATGTGCTCGGTTGCCCAGGAGGCCTATTTTCACCTTTACAACTTAACTTAAACAGAATTAAAACTAAAGCATGCAATATATAAAGAAAATTAAAAGTTGTCTTACATCTAGTAAACTTGAAAAATTGCACATTAAATTCATTTTTCATTATAAAATAAAATTAAATATCACAATTCAGTTTACAAAATGTGGTCTGTTTGCACCCACAGTAAGTTCCCATGAAGCCTAGCCTAAATTCAGAATTGAAAAAAAACGAGCAAATGGGGTCGGAAACTACTAGCCCTAAAAGCATAATGTGGAAAATGTTTGAAGAGCTGCGAAATTTGGTTGCAATAATAAAAATAACAGTGCATAAATTGGAAAAAATGGTTTTTGTTTTGCTTTAAAATTTTTGGGAATATTGGTTCAGATGGAATTTTTTTATTTGTTTGGTTTTTCAGCTCGTTAATGATGCACCCAGGGTTGCATTTACTGTCTATGAAAATATTTCATGAAGCGTTCCAAAATTAGCTCCGAGCAACTAAACGTTGGTTAAGCTTAAATGAAATAGTTTTTTATTAAATATTTATTCCTGGTATTTAGTAAAAAACATCAATACTAATGTATGAAAAACAAAACATCAATGCTAATGTATGAAATGAAGTAAATAAAAATCTACGAATACATTCCATGAATATTTTGTCATAGAGCCATTATTAAATTTAGACATAACTTTGTCAGGCGTTGGTACTGACCAGCAGACATCTGCAGCGGGTGCATGATTTTCGTGTATACTCGATCATCTAACAAAACCCGTTTTGCATCGTTCTCTGTATACGAGCAGAAGTATTGTTCGTTATCGACTGAGCTCAAGACGAACATGTTGGCCACAACACCCGATTGCTTTTCATACATACTTGATTGGGTTCGGGTGCTTTGCAGCTCAATATACCCGGGTGTTCGAGTTTCAACCCGAGTGTGCACAAAATTTTCTTGATTGGCTTATGACGTTTTTGTTTCTACAAAAAATGTTGCCTTCTCATCGCGGTGTTCTTAGTTTTTGTGCGTAGAGGGCAAAGAGAACGTTGAATTTTTCGGTAGTTTGTTTAAGTGTACATTTAACCATTTCTTATATATTTGCTCATACAAAATGCGACATCACGACGCCTACATCCATTTAGGTATAATTGTGTGTAGATCGGCATTGCCCAAGCCCTATACACTCGGTGCACATTTATTTTTTGTAAAAGTACTTATGTACTATGTAGATGTACATAGTTTTAGGCTGTGTGTTCTAGTATATACTCACACAGCTTTCCACGCGAAACTATACGAAATAGATGCAAAAACATTTTTGTCTACTTCGCTTCTAATTTTTTCATTGCGTATGCACAAGCACAAAGCAACAACATTTTCGTATGCTTTGTGGGAACATATTGGCGCCAGTTACCTTCAGCGTAAATTTCTTTGTTGTCCTACATTTTATCGCAATGTTCGGGTGTCCGTTTCATTGTTACACAAATTTTCGGGTTAGCTGCGGGTGTCCGAGTGTGGTGTTCGCTTGTGCTCAATGTATAGCGAGGGTAATCGAACAGACTCGTTCGTAACCAAAGCAGCTGTCGGGTATGCATCTCGATCGAACACATAGTAGGCGAGTGTGGCGTTCGCTTGTGCTTGATTTTTAGTGAGTGTGATCAAAAAGGCTCGATCATACTCAAAGCTGTTCTCTGGTACTGACGTATATAGAATTAATGCGTTGGAGAGAGATAAATATAAAAGTTCAACGCGCTAATTTAGGTATCCTTGTATGTATATACCTGTTACTCGTCTGGCATATACTCCAACTGCGAAAATAATGACAACTATAATTTATGTAGATCCCTGGATAAAAGATTGTCACAAGTTACTTTCGGTAACTCACGATTGAAGTTTGAATGCAATTTCTCAGAAACACGACTACAGATTTTCTCCAAAGTGTGGGAGAATGCTATGTACTAGTTCATGAAATTCTTAAAATATCTTATTTTTTTAGTTTAGTGTCAACCATTTATGAGTTTAATAAAATTTTGTCGTATACGACATTTGTCAAAAAATTTGCAGTCAGTTTTAGTGATATACGCCAAAATGTGATAACAATTTTTATAAATTAACCATACTTTTTACTAATCAGCCTAATCGTGAGTTTCGCCCGAACAAAATTTCGCCAACAATTTTTTCATCCACCTGTGGTGAACACACGCAAACGAAAAGTGACCCGGTTCTAGAAAATTAAACTCATGATAAAGCTGAATATGTCGGAAACTAAAGAAGAACAGATAACTCTATTTGAAAGATCTTGATTAGTTTAGTACGACAGCAATACTAACGCAATTTGTACCAAATAACCGAAAAAATTTTAGTAAATTAGTCGGAAACTAAAGAAGATATCCAAAAACCACAAATTGTCAAAATGACGCTTCCGGTAATTTTCCATCCAGGCGACGATATTTGAATAGGTTTGTATGGTTACCAATAGTCAGTACTAATTTGTACTGGAACCTGCAAACTTTTACTGGAAAACTGTATGATAACCCAAAAAAATTTGCAAGAGCACTGATTCGAGAGCGTAACAACACGAGAGAGCTGCAAATTCTTGCTAGTGAAATTTTTACTAGCAGAAATTAGCTAGCAGAAGAAGAAGAAGAATAAATGTCAAAAGAATATATAAAAAGTGGTGTTACTAGCTCAGTTGATTTTGTGTATGTGTTTCGCCGCACGGCTTCTGATATCAAATTGAAAAATTTTGTTTGAATTTCTACACACACTTACAGATTTTGACAGTTTATTTTTTGGGTTATCATACAGTTTTCCAGTAAAAGTTTGCAGGTTCCAGTACAAATTAGTACTGACTATTGGTAACCATACAAACCTATTCAAATATCGTCGCCTGGATGGAAAATTACCGGAAGCGTCATTTTGACAATTTGTGGTTTTTGGATATCTTCTTTATTGGCTAAAATTTTTTCGGTTATTTGGTACAAATTGCGTTAGTATTGCTGTCTTATGCAGCGTTTTTGCTGCATTTAAAATGCAACATTTAGCACTTTCGAACATATGTTTTCGAAGGGCGTTCATGCTATCGCATTTAGCAAATGTACATTTACGCGAGTTCGAAATCGTATGCTTTTGACAAACAGCCGTGT